CTTAGTAGCCATGAAAAACTTTTTTAAATTTATGGTAAGGGTGATCTCATAAAAAATCTCTGATGGTCAAGGTAAACTATCTTTCTTTCATGTTGAAAGTTGATGGTACCATGTACCTTTTTTACAAATTGAACATACTTTGTGACCCTTGACACTGTACTCAGATAAATTTTCATATGCAAGAAAGTTGTTTATAGTGTAAAAGATCATAGTACATAATTTAAAATTTTCTTTTGATTTACGTCAAACATATCCACACTTACTCCTATAGCTCTTTCAAGTCTTCAATCAAATGTCTTAAGTAAATATCAATTTTTTTTCCAATTGTCTTGGTCCCAAAATCAACATAGATAGCATCATATACTTCTATTTCATGCGCAGCTAAGATGATAGGTTATAAATCACTAAAAGAACAGGTCATGAGCTACATGTATTGCTAATTAAAAATAAATTAAAATAAAACTAATATATATAAGTTAAAAATAAAGTAAAATAAAATTAATATATATACTACTAATTAACAAAAATTAAAAATAAAGCTAAAATTAAACAATAATTAATATATAATTTAAAAATTTAAAAATAAAAGAACAGAAGAGGAGGAGGAGGAGGAGGAGGGAAAAGGGGAAGAGGAGGAGGGGGAAGATTGGGGAAGGGGGCAAGGTTGAGATGGAGAGGAGAGGGGATACTGAGGAAGTAGGGGAGGAGAGGCAGGACATTGAGAGGGAGGTTGGTGAGGAGGCACTAAACTGAAGAGAGGAGGGAAGACGAAGACGAAGTGAAAAGGTACTTTTTTTAAAAAAATTTTGAAAGCTTTCAACATTGGGTGAGCTAGCACCTGAGGTTAAAAGTAGTTTATTTTATTTTTATTTTTTTAATTTTAAACTCTTTCAACATTTGTTGCCTATACGCTTGATGTTGAAAGAGAATCAAGTGAGCTGGCACCCAGTGTTGAAAGTTGTATTATTTTTTTTTATTTTATAACACTTTCAACATTGGGTGAATGGGCACACAATGCTGAAAGCATTTTCTACAGAGGATAAAGTGGCATTTGCTGTTGAAAGTCCTACATAGGCAGGAAATATTGCAAAAATGTTACCAATTCTACTTTCTACATCATTTGCCTTTAAATTGATATAAAAAGTCCATTGTAAAAGATAAATTTTATACTAGTGTATCCATAAATTTCACATTCAGTTATGTAGCCAATTTCTCAAAAATTTCATGGCAAAAAAAAAAACGCTATATCTTTTGAAAGATTCTTCATGGCCATGAAAAGCTAATCTATGTTAGAAGGTGAATACAATAATTTGACGCAACCAAACATATTTTTTTAATATAAGTCATGAATTTGTTCAGAGTGCTTTGACAATTATTGCAACTTGAATATGTTAGTTTTGATACATTAAATCTTGACACTTCTTCCAATTAATATTATGTATATTATTAGAATCTCCAACATGAAAGATAAGAGTCTTTCTTTCTTATTTCAATTTGTAAATCTTCCCTTACAAATGAATCATCGTTGAATTGTTTTTCAAGATCAGGCCTAAAAATGTAATAACATGAGTAAAATGCTACATCTTTTTCTATGTTACCAATTGCCAAATTCTTGAAACCAAGAGGAAGAAAAACTTATAGAATTCATAATTTTTCCTTTTGGAGAAGAGTTATGTTGAATAGCCCGATAAGCTTTTCAATTTTTGTTAAATATGTTAATTTTTTTTAAATGTTTGGGCGAGATACTAAAATTTTAGTTCATGACAAATCTTTCAAATTAATGACATTTTTTGCTGTCAAATCTTTGAAATTAATGACAATTTTTTATTGTCAAATATCTGAATCACACAAGGTTTTGATTGGGGATAGCTCTGCTGAGTTAATGACAATTTTTTCTTTAAAAATCTTTCCATTTTCAATTATACTGTATAACTAAGAATATTTATATGGCACAAACATTACCAAGGAGTAATATTATTTTTGTAATATAAAAGCAAGCAAGTAAGAATGGCTGTAGCAATATAATTGAGTAATCTTGTTTGGAAGAAGTATAAAATAGAATCATTATTATAGAAGGGCATGGCTGTAACATTGTCCTTTGGGAGAATCTCAATGGGGCCCTAAAAATAAATTTAATAGCATGCAGGATTTAAATTATTTTAAAATGCTTCTACAAGCTCAGGCGCCCAAATTACAATTAATTTTGTTAGTCCAATTACTAAAACACACTCACCTTTTATTTAAAAAAAATTATCATGCCATCAGTTGCCAAAGTCACCACGCCAAAGCGGTAGTCAATGCACGATCAAATGTGCCATAGGTCCAAGGGTAAATTTAAACTTTTGATCCCTTGATTCTCCAAAATGAAAGAAACCATCGAGCTAACAAGCATTTTAATAAGTATATTGCAAAATTATATATATAATTATGACTTTTGTTTTCAAGCATTTTTACCTATTGTTGCATATCATGGATATCTTGTTGCGTATATATGAACATTTACTTGTACATACATACATACGTACATACATACATACATACATACATACATACATACATACATATATATATATAATTATGACTTTTGTTTCCAAGTATTTCTACCTATTGTTGCATACCTTGAATATCTTGTCGTATTTATATGAACATTCACTTGTACATATTCAAATATCACTTGTTTATATATAAAAAATTGTCAATTTTTTAAAACCCAATTTATTCTATTTTTTACAACTTATTTCTTCAATGTTAGTTGTTTAATGTAACTAGTCATTATATTATGGACAATGTTATATTATTTATGCTTAATTGAAGAAAATGAAGTTGACGTCAACTAGTTGAATAATTTTTTTGTCATCACGAACTTAAAATATGACATAGCAATGAGTATATATGAATCATGAACAATGTAATCTTGCATTAGGCTCCATTCTTTTCATTATTCTATTATTATTTCTACATTTTCTCTCTATTTAAATTACTATGTGAATTTAAATTTTAAATTTCTCACATCAAGTTGGGTTCAAATTTTAAATTTTTCTCAAATAAATAATACACTTTTAATTAAAAATTTGATCAAATTAGTTTATTGGAGCTTTTGTTGATATAACTCATATTATAAGACTAAATAAAGTAAATAGCTCAATATTTATTATATTTTGCATTGTAGCCTGTTTGTTATATTTATCAATGATATATTATTATATATCAATAATAAACAATTTGTATATCAATGTGAACTGACTATACTTTTAAATTTTTAAAAATTTGGTCCATATTTTTTGGATATAATTTTTTTTTTTAGGTTAGTGGACCAATAGTTTATTACATGAAAAAATATAGTTGCTACTAAAACAATCGCTGGAGTGAAGAAGGCGTTCATTGGAATAGATCATACAAGTGGAGGTAGATTCATGATTGAAAAGGAAAAAATAGGCAAAGAAAAATAGTTTGAAAGGGTGACCATGGTCATAAATGAAGAGGACCTGATATCAACGACAACGAACTCCCTCTATTTTTTATTATTAAAAAAATATTATTTTTAATTCATATTTTTATAAATAAAATAATTTATTTCAATAAAACATTTATTACACATTTTTTAAATTACTCCTCATAATTTACATTAATTAAAAAATAATTAATATATATTTATGTTAATTAATACAGAATATTTTAATTTATTGTTTATTTTTAAATATAATTATTATAATTAATTATTTTTTTAAAAACTGTGTAATGCAGTTATATATATATATAAATGGAGAAAGTATAATGCAAAAGGCCCAGATAAGAGGCCCGACAGCAATGGACAAATTTAAAGTTGCAGAGGCCCGACAGCCTCAAGTGTTTTGATGTTGGGACATTGGTCCGAAGGCTTACAATGTTGAAGAGATGAGCCCATCACAGTGTAAAGTCACGGAATGGCCTTCCTACTTTATTTTAGGATGGAGCCGCAACAGCCGATCACTGGGACATTGTATAATCAATCATTAGGGTAAGGCGATTAATATGTGTTCGGGAGACCAGCCGGTGACATGGCATTGCATCATGCCTTCGCTTCCTACCATGTTTGTCAGAGCCTCTTGCTTAGCTACCTTGGAAGTTGGGATTGAGATTCAGATTTCAGACTGGGGTGTGGGACCCCATGAAGCTTGTTGTTACTTTTCTCATGTGTAACTTGTCCGTGTGTTTGGTTTCCACTTTATCCGCAAAAAACAATTTAATAAAAATTAATTGACATAATTAAATTTATATTTAGATATATTTTTTAAAAATTAGTTTGATAAATTAAAATTTGATTGGATTAATAAAAATTTATAATTTTAAAATGTATTTTTAAATATATAATAATAAAAAATAATATTGATTTATGATAATTGATAATTTTTATTATATAAATATAATGTATTAGAAGTGTTTAAAAAATATGAAAAAATTTAAAATAACATAAAATTTAATTTTTTTAAATAATAAGAATAAAAATATATAGTTTACTATTAGAAAAAAATTAAAACATAATAAGGGTATCAGCCATTTATAAAAGTAGATATAACCTAAGTCCTACTTATAATTTCAAATTCATAAAAAAGTTGAGATGCCAAATTCACATTTTAACTACATTTAACCCACTTTTAAAAAGTTATTTTTTTTACATAAAAAACACCCAAACAACGTGTAACATCTGAAATATTAAAAAGTATATCTAAAATGCTAAACGTTAGAAATGCAAACACGCCCTTATTTGTAATGACAAAACACACACACACACATCTTGAGTAACAACAACAAAAATAAATAGATTTATAAAAAATATATATATACTTAATCTTATATACTTAAAATACTTATTTTTAATTAAATCAAGACATATGTATCTATTATAAATTTTTTATTTTATAATAAATTATGATTATTATTAATATATTAAAATTTATATATTTTAATTTAATTAAATGAAAGTATATTAAATATATAAAAATAAATATATAAGTCTGCCTCGTACGTAAATTCACCTTACATACATTCATTCTCAACACAAGGAATTTCATCGATCAGCGATTTAGACATGATTGTGGAAAAAGAAAGGAAATTCAAAAAGTTGACAAGCTAATAATATAAATAGCATGTCCTCAGAAAAAGACAAATCCAGCCTTATTCGTTTTGTGAAATCATTCGATTCGGATCTGGGTGGGGCACTCCACCGCCGTGTCCTCTTTTGGATCTTGCCCTCTGTTTTCATGACTCTGCCCATTTCCACCTTCTCTGTTCTTTCCCCACAGCACACTGTAAAGTCCGACCACCAACAAAATAGTTCCACCAATACTGCCATCACAGAGGCAACTTGAATGACATACAAATCCGACCCAAAAACAACATCATCATTAAAAAATAGGAAGAATATCAATAATGGACCTTGAACTTCACTAATTAATTAATAATATTTACTTGTTCAAAATATATTGTTAATTTGTGCATGTATAAGTAAACTTGAGTTATCATGAGAAGTTTTACATTGATTAAAATTAACTTTGATAATTAATATAAATAAAAAAAAAGAGTGGAAGTCCAAATATACAAGCATACGTATTGTGTAAGAAGGGGATCAGAGAAGTGGGCGCAACAAGACAAAATAAAATTATGAAGTCTCTAAAAAAGAAAAAAACAACACCATATTTTAACTTGAAATTTAAAAACTCAAATTTACAAGACATTATTCTTTATTTTCTATTAGTAATTAAGTATTTTTTTTTTTTTTACGTGAGACATATTGACTCAGTCCATCCACTGAACATTAATGAAAGTACGAACCTTCCCCAGTGAAGTTGCTCTTTCCAGAGCAGTGTTGAGAAGAAGGCAGTGATTACGAGAGCCAGAGGAATGAACATTGCTGAGAATACTGGGCCTTTCTCCTCTATAGCACACAGTTGAAGCCAAAACAAAACCCCTGTTCCAATCACACCCTTCAAAACCAAAGCAATATATATATTCTTAGCCATCCATTGATAAATATCAAGGTAACAGGCCGTTTTTCGTTCTTTTTCTTAAAAAAATGGATAATTTTATTTAATATAAACGCACGCAGTAAAGCACAGAAAGAAGGTGAATGTCCCATCCAAGCTTCCATGCTGAAGGATCCCTTTCCAGTATCACAGCCAAAACAGCTGTCTGTATACTGCTAAACAAGCACTGTAGAGTTGTCATGCGAACTTTTGCACTGTATTGTTTTACTACAAGTCCCTGAAACATGTAATTTTTCACACATATTTATCAACACAACATTCTATAGTGTACACATAGAAACAACTATATATTGTGGACTCCTTGAGACATGATGGTAAGTATTAAAGCAATGGGACTGATACCATACCTGCAAAACAAGCCATAAAGACAAGGCGGTGGTTCCTGAGAGCAGAAAAACAAGTCCTTTGATTTCATCTCCTTTAGAGTGAGCTGCTGCCATTATTGAATCTGAATTACTATTCTGCGGATTTGATGGATGCGACTTCGTGAAACTTATTGGAGGTCCTTTTACTAAACCAAATATTATTGTCCCTGAAAGGCACAATACAGAACCCAAAATCTTGGCTATGCCATGTATCTGCTTCACGGAAATGCTTTCCACCCTGACATATATAATTAAAATAAGATCACTCTTCTTTTTGCTTTGATAAGAAGATATGTGGCTGTGTTAGAAATAAGTCTCATTTACCTGAATGTGACAGCCAAGATGAAAGTAATGACCGGGACGGTGTTTGTGGAGGCTTGAGTAAATGTTGCAGAGGAATAGTTAAGTCCAAGAATGAAAAGGTTTGAACCCAGTGTTAACCTGAAAGTTTAAGATTTTGTTTGATTGATTTTCAGTGATGAAATCTAATTAAACGACCTTGGAAAAGAAAGATATATATAGCTTCATACCCAACTAAGGTAAGAAGAAAGATTTTGCCCAGTAAGGTGTATGACAAAGGAACAGCCTGATTGCTGCAATGTGAAGAGACAAACAAGGTTATTGAATTAGCTAGGTAAAAGGAGGGCGTTTCAATGGAGGCGCTAAGAACATGATACAAAAATGAAAGGAAGAGCAGGCGAACCGTTCGAAGAGGGCGAAGGGGAACAAGGCAATGGTGGCGAAAGCTTGGCGATAAAAAACAAAGACATAAGGGTTCAATCCCTTGGAAATTGCAGCTTTGGCTAATAGAGTTATGCCTGCAGTAATAAACTGACCGACCAACATTGCAGCATAAGCCCTATATCTTAATACCAGCGAACTAACTGAACTCTTCATATTCCCTTTAGTTTTTCCCTCTCTTTCTGGCTCTGCCGTTGCTTGATCCCCATATAAGCTTCAGACATGAAAATCCTGGCTAGATACAGTACTTGGCTCTTGCTTGTTTGTACCTTTTGTATTTATTGAACACACCAAGAAGATTAACAGGTAATAACGAATACATCAGCGACGACAAGATTTAAACATGAGTTGATTGGAAAAGCCGACACAGCAACTCGACACCTTTTGTGGGCACCAAATATCATGAATATTGTCAGCACTAAAATTGTTGTTACTATTACATGCCAATCAGTGTTCAGATTAATATCAGTCATCAATGTCCCTCTTGATTAATATATCTATATAAAATATTGAATTGTGCTGTTTAAAATCATAATCAATAAAATTCATTCTTGCACCCAAACTTAGATTCCCAGAATGAAAAATATAAGAGGGTTTTCCATAAAAAAATTTAAAAGAATTTTTGGAAAATTTAAAAAAAAAACATGGTTTACAAAAGAGAAAAGAGTTTGATAATCAATTATATGTGGAGAAGGTATCAGTTGGACACAACACAATATCTATTTAATAATAGCTGACCTAAATAAAAGTTGGGTTAAAGGTTACATTTCCTTAAATTACTTTGATGTGGTGTAAAGAAATTCATCAATTAACAAAAATATAGCATTTACAACCTTCCATCGATTTGTGATTAACGGAGTCAAAAGGTATGCTGTGATTTCTTAACACTACACTCCTTTCAAATCCACTTGACATCACCAAATCAATAGTTAGAAGCACAACTCGCACGCCAAGAAAAGGACGACGCAGCATCATCATAGTAAAGTTTAGAACAGAATCATGTGGGGTAAATTAAACTTATCATTAAAACTCTAATCCACCCACTAATATGAGCAAAGAACTCCACGAATAATTTCCGATAATTGAGGTTCAGAGCAATGTGAGGGAAAAGAAAGAAAAGTGTATGAGACATTCAACGTCAAATTCATAGCATCATGGTCCTACACGACTTGGGATGATCAAGATGCCCTTCTAACTTGAGGAGTCCGGAATTAGTGAACAATTATCAAATCGAAAATGAATTTGCAGCAAACAATAGAGTTATATATGTACAGGTGGATACCATACGTAGAGTAGAATATATAACTGACAAAGTTAAATGTGGAGCAAGAAGACAGGGACCCACCAATGTAACCATGCGACATATATATTATAGAGATTAATAATTCACCTACACGGCATAAACTTCCTCTCACACGTTGTTTCTCCTTCAATGTCTCTCTTTTTCTTTCTATTTCCAACGTGGCCTCTTTGTCTCTCTCCACTCAGTTGTTTTTTTGACCTCCCTAGTTCCTTCTTCCTCAATATATATATATATATATATATACATATATATATGTAGAGAGAGAGAGGAGAGAGTGCATCACCGTCTCCAAGGTCAACAAAAGCTATTGATTTCCTCCTATTTTAATAAAAACAGATCTCACGAGAATGAAATATAACATTTAGGAAAATCTCCACCATGAGAGATGGGAAAGGGATTGAAGTCTCTAGTCATATCTGTTAAAGATCCTATTGATTTCCATTCCCAAAATGATAAAAATGACTACATTTTTTTTGTTTGTTTTAGGATTTCAAGAAAATTATTAATCAAAGATTCTTTGAGAGTACAAAGTGATGTCTTCTACTTTATTTATTCAAATAAATTGATGAATTTAAAAGGTAAAGAAGATATCATTTTTAGCTTCTGTACTAAAATGATCAAACAAAATACAGTGCTCACACTTTACACCTATCTAGTGAATCCACTAATCTGCTGATATGATCGTATCATCATAATTTTTCCAATCGCTGCAAAACATAGTATCTTCCAAAGATTTGTTTCATTTATGTTACTTATTTGGGCAGATTATACATGAATATACAATAAAATGAATTCTATTCAAGTGTCTCTGGGAATGATCCTCGGGCATGATGAGATTTAGTTACTTCCTTGGTGCTTATATATGGATAAATGATATATAATGATTCATCTAGCACAGAAAATGTGAATGCACCTCTCAATGTCCAATGAAGAAATGATTGCTGATTGCTATTTCGATATGCACGGTGAACAAAATTGAGGATATAAAGAGGATTCCTTACTAATTAAGTGGCCCTCGGCACGCAGGATGGAAAGAAACAAAGGCGGGATAATTAGAGGAACTCATTCTAGATCATGTGGCCTCTAATCAACTTTTCTTTTAGGGGAAGGTTCCCCGTTTTGGGTCTGTACTTTAATTGTTCTGGCCCATGGATCCATTTTCAGTCCAAACAACTATTTAACTTAACTATATCATATTTAATGGTAAATATCTCTTTAAAATTAAAAAGAAAAAGACTAAATACTATTTTGAAACAATTTACACTTATTTATTTATTTATTGCATTGGTTGGACCTGATTCAATAGTAGACCGAGGATAAGAGTTGGTCCTAAAGACCGTATTTAAATAAGGATTCAAGTTTTAAAAATTAATTTTTTTAAAATAATTGGATTTAAGGGCATGATCTTGATGAGCCCTATAAAAGAAAAGCTTAAGTCCAGGTAGCCTTTCAAATTTAGTTATATTATTTTTAATTTTTTTCTTAATGGAACACGCATTTGAAGTCAGTAAAGACCTATTTGCCTAAATTTATGATCCTATGTGCATTATATTATTATTAATTTTAATTTATTCTAAAATTAATTTAATATAATTTATTAAATATCAGTATATAATTTAAATTTTTTGATATTTTTTATTTTTTATAATTATTATGTTTGTATATTTATAAAAATGAATTATTATTAGACTTCTAAATGTATTTTGTTTAATTTTTAAAATATTATGAGAGTTTTGATTTTTTTAAAATTTTAGAATATTTTAACTAATTTGTAGTACTTAATTTTACTTTAATTTTTTTAATTTTTTCAAAACAAGAATTACGGGTTCAATCCTAAGCCCTTCTAAATAAGGATCGGACCTAAAAAAAGTGATAAAAAATAAAAAATTAGGCCTAAGTGCTTAGGCCCTAATGGGTTTAAATTTTGTTACATGATTTATCATATATATTTAAATATAATTTATTTAATAACTTATTATTATGCTATAAATAAATACTTTAATAATTATAATATATTATTTTAATTATTTAGATATTAATAATAACTATAATAATTTAAATTATATATTTAATTATTTTTTATAACATATTACATGCCTAATTATTGTTATTTAAAAATAAAAAAATTTAAAAAATAATTTTGATATATAAAATACTTATATTATAAAAATTATAATATAATGCATAGTGATAATAAAATATTTTTTTTATTTTAATGTTAAAGTTTCTATCAAAAATAATTTTTTAAAATTATAATATAAATAAGTATTATATAAAATATAAATTTTTTTATTGATAAATAAAAAGAATGTTAAATAAATAAATATATTTAAATTATATATTTATTGATATATATAAGGACAGTTAAATATTATATATTTAATTTATTAATTAAAAACTAAAGGTCTCCTTTCACTCAACCACCAATAAGATTAGAAGTAAAGGCTTATGAATGTGCGAGGTTGTGGGTTCGAATTTGGTTAAGACGCATTTAAAGTTAATATATGATATGGAGATAATGTGGCAGGAATGTGGAGGTGACATGGCAAGAGGTGATCATGAGGTGGCAGTGACATGGCAATGAGGTGGCACTGTTGCCCATTTAGCAATGTGGCAATGATGCTTTTTTATAGAATTTTTATTTGCAATAAATTAGTAATGGAATGCATTCATTGTAGAATTAGAATAACTTATTTTTATTTAGTGTCAGCAAATTATCATCACTAATTTTGATGTTAATTAGTGATGAAATTTCAATTTTGTCACTATTTTCATTGCTAATGAGTAACGAAATTTGAAATTCTATCATTAATGAATTAGTGATGATGTTTTTACCGACGGACTTATTCTGTTACTAACTCATCTATTAACAGAATTTGTATTGATTTGTGACAGAATTTTTCATTATTAATGTATTTTTTTTTTTCAAGTGTAATACGCTACACCAATAGACAGAAACTATTGCCCATTAATCACACCAATAGGTTATTGCTATTGCATATTTTAGTACCCTGAGCTACAAACAAGGATCGTTCCCTATTTATACCAACAGGTGAAAACCATTACCTATAACAACAACTTAAACTCATTGCGTATAGTCTCACTATATGCAATGATTTTATGATCCGCAGTTTAAAATACGAAAAAATTATTGCCTTAGATTATAGATAATGAGAGCAGGCTCCATGTCTAAAACCCATTACTTATGCCCATAAGCAATGGTTTTTCACCTTGTGACAATGGTTTTTGACGCCTGTTGCATGGCAAAAATGCTGTAGTGAAAGTTCCTGTCATTGCTTTAAAGGCAAAGTGATGATGTAGTATATATTAAGAAAACAGTGATGAAGCACTGTTGAAAAAAATTTATATTGATTAAGAATCCGTCATTGTTAAAGTTTAAATAAAAAAACTTAAATGAATTGTTATTAATTTAAAATAAATTATTGTTAAAATTTAAATGAATACTTATTAATAAAAAATTAAATATTTATTTAAATTTTAATAATAAATAATTTTAATTAATATAAATTTTCTTTAACAATCTTTAATTGATATTTTCCCTGTATATTATGACCTTCCCCAGAAAAGTGCAGATAACATCTGAGTGACTACAAGACAGAGGAGTGACTGAACATTGCTGTCAATACTGTGCATTTCTCCACTATTGCCCACAGTTGGCCAAGTACGTAGTCCTAATCCCTGTTCCAATATATTTATAAATTATTTTTAAGTAACTCAGCTCAGGCACACTAAAGTAGCTAAAACTTGTTAAAGGTCCCAAAATTATTCCATATTTCCATAATTAAGGAATCATATTAGAAAAAAATAGTAATTATATTTCTTCATAGATTTTATAAAATGATTTATAAATAGAAAGAGGGGGGGTTTTTTGTTATTTTTCTCATATTATGTTCTGTCTCAGATTTTGCACTATAGCGGTGATTCAATCAACAAATTATCCCTCTTTACGAGTCAAGATCACCAAACGCTGAAGACAAAACATATTTCTGTAAAGAATAAGATAGGCCTTTTTCAATGCCGTTTGGCAGATGCTCTTCATGGGGGGTTTGTATTAAAATCATCTATAAAGGAACTGGTTTAATTAGTTGGAAAAAACAAGGAAAAGAAAAGAAGTAGTTTAAATCATATAAATGATCTGGTCTAATTTAATTTCCAACAAATTCCAAATCTTTTATATAAACTTGATGGTTGGAGGTTGACCAATTCAAAAAAAAAAAAAAAACTTGTTATATGGGGACGTGGAGAATAAATATATACAAGACAATCAGACATTTCACCTAAGAATTTCACTCTGGTCTTTCAAATTATGTTTATAGTAATAACTGAATGAAACATGTAGATGATATGTATGTGTGTATAAAAACATACAGAATAAGCTACGGTTAAAGTCCCATTCAAGTTTCCATGCATATATGACAGCTAAAACAGCTATTTGTATACTGCCAAAGAATCTTCATAGTGTAGTACTCCCTCCGTCCCAAATTATAGGGTGTTTTTAAATAAGTTTTTCCGTCTCAAAATATAAGACACTTTGAGTATATTAAGGTTTTATTAAATATACCAATTTTAAATTTACTCTTTCTCTCTTTATAATTAATTTATCTTCATTCTTTTTTCGATATATTAAATTATAAATATTTTTAAAAGTTTATATTTCTATTTTGAAAAGATAAGGTTATTATTAAGTATATTTAATAAGGTTTATTGATATGTGAAATTTTATCTAAATGTGTCTTATAATTTAAAATGGAGAGAGTATTATGTATCTATATTTTGAATAAATTTGATTGGAAATGAGCTAAACTTTTCGTATATCGATCGCAGCGTATAATAAATTTACATGTTAACATCCATCTTATCAGAAACGAAACAACATTTTTTATTTTTATTTTTTTAAAAAAGAACTACAACAACAACAACATACACACTCCATCTTAGTTTTCATACATATAACAAAAAAAACTACTTTGTTGAGGGTGCTTCAATGGACATCTGCGCGTTCTGTGTGGGAATCTCCAATGCAGTGTGATTGTGTCCTCTTGATTGTTCAGTGGTTTCAATTTCATTATGGCTTTGGTCCTTTTATTCTCTCTGTGTTTCCCCCACAGCACAGCGTAAAGACCAATCACTAGCAAAATCATCCCACCAATACTGCAACAGAAACCGTCCACTTGTTAGGAATATGAAACCCCAAAACCTGGAAACAAGGGGAGAACAACTAGGCAAAAAGAAATAAAATATAGCATATTTTAACTCAAAATCTCAAAACTTAAATTTATATATATCTTTTCAATTTATTATTCTCTTCATTGAAAAATATAAAGTATTTTTTTAAGGTAATATGCTAAAGTATATAAGGTATTTTTTTAAAGTAACATGCCAAAAATATAAGGCATCTTAAGTTTTTTAACATGCAATTAATGAATTTTTTTTTCAAAAATACACTTAATTGCAATTAATAACATTTTCTAATTAAGACACTCTGTTAAATAAGAATAAATATGAAATGAGTGTATAATTTTAAAGATTATTAACTAATGCATTAGGGTTATGATTTGGTTAAAAATGACTACTTATAAAATTAAATGGATGGATTATATATTACTTATTAGCTAGATCCAATTTTATCTGACATGATGATTAGATTTTTCATATCGACTTAAGCTCACGACTTAGCAACATGTTAATAGTATATATATATTTTCATCCTCATCCTTATCAAGAAGTACAATTAATGTGTGATTTAATATAATCATGCATGTTGCTATTTGTTAAATACAATAAGGATAATGAAATAAAATTGGATTACTCATCAAATTATTTATTGTGTTTCTTAATCCTTATACCAAAACCTCACAACACTTAATGTGGGATGGGGGGAGCAGACATCATTGTGTCTGACTGTCCGTCCTCTCTTTGTCATCACACTTTTTAGCAGAAGTGTATAAATAAAATCAGATCTTATATTATTTAAGTAAACTTTAATATATTTTATTTTGAAAGGAAATGAAAAAAAAAAAAAAAGAAAGAAAGAAAGTAATAAGAAAGAACAAGTGTTTGTTATGACGTACCTTCCCCAGAGAAGTGTTTCTCGCCAGACAAGCGTAGAGAAAATGGCAGTGATGATGAGAGAGAGAGGAGTGAACAATGCTGAGAATACTGCGCCTTTCTCCTCTATAGTGCACAGTTGCAGCCAATATGAAATCCCTGTCACAACCACACCCTGCAACCACAATACGTTAATGCTTGTGATTGATGATTCAGTGATATAATAATACTAACTTCATTCATTCATGAATCATTAACTGTGTGAACATGAAATCAAGATGAGTTGTTATTATAAACCTACACAGTAAACCACAGTAAGAAGGTTAATGTCCCATCCAAGCTTCCATGCTGAAGGATCCCTTTCCAATATTACACCCAAAACAGCTGTCTGCATACAGCAAAACAAGCACTGTAGAGCTGTGAGGCGAAGTTTTACTGTATATTTCTTCACAACAAATCCCTGAAACAGACATATTTAATTAATATATACGTAGGATATCTAATTCATTAAGCAACAAGCATGAGACTGATCATTATTAGTGTACCTGCAAAATAAGCCACAAAGCCAAAGTGAAGTTTGATGAGAACGTAAAAATAAACCCTTTAATTTGAGCTTCTTTAGAGTGAGATGCTGTTAATGACTCAGAATTGTTCTGCTCGTTGGATGGATGGCCATTCATGGAACCTATTGGAGGTCCTTTGACGAAAGCATATATTATTGCCCCTGAAAGGCTCAAAATAGTGCCCAGAATCTTGGCTTTCCCATCCATATGCTTCAAGGAGACGCTTTCCACTCTGTCCATTTTGTAAAAACCACACTTTTTTTTTTTAACTCAGATCAGATGAGAGAACTCACGCACGCGCACTACATTCGTACCTCAGTGCAACAGCCAAGATGAAAGTAACGCACGGGACGATATTTGAGAAGGCTGTGGCAAATGTTGCAGAGATATAGTTGAGTGCAGCACAGTAAAAGTTTGCAGATAGGGTTATCCTGAATGTAGAATTAAGCACGAGCACAACACACACGACGATTAGAAATATTTATTTATTTATGTCATTATTTTTGGGCTAGATCTTGGCTCTTTTTCCTTGCAGCGATAAAACTAAAATGGTATCGTAACAATTTTGTCCTCTGTTATCTTTTCAGCTAGATCTTTCAACAATTTTCATGGACTAAGATGAAAATTGTCAATGGTTAAGACCAGAAGACGGATTAATTTACGATCGACAATTGATTGTTAAGAGTGTCATACCCAACTAAGGAAACAAGGAAGATTTGGCACAGTAAGTTGAATGACAAGGGAGAATCCTGTTTACTGCAGATTGAAAAGACGAATAGATATATAATAAGCTTGGTTAGATGGTGGTGGTAAAAGGCTATGTTAATAGAGATACTGAAAATTAAAGAGCACAAAAAGGACGAGTGAAGAAATTAAAGAACCGGTCGAAAAATGCGAAGGGAGCCAAGACGAGGGAGGCAAGAGCTTGGCGGTAAATAACAAAGACAAAAGGGTTCAATCCCTTGGCAATGGCAGCTTTGGATAGCAAAGCCATGCCCGAGTAAATGACCTGATTGCTGATCATTGCAACATAAGCCCTATTTCTTGCCAAGAACCTCAGCGAGCTCCTCACCATTTTCATTTCTTTTATTTTAATTTCCTCGCTGCCTTTGCTCGCTCTCCATGAGATCTGCACAAGAAAAATATGTAGAAGGAGAAGGTGGGCCTCGTATGTACGTACGTAGGAGTAATTAAACGGTGCATGCTTGCTTGCTTGTACCTTTTGCATCATCCAGAACAGATCTAGCAAATTAATAAATAACAAATAATGTATTTGGTTTTGTGTTGGAAACAACCACGTTTGAAGTTGCACAGGAAAAAAAATGATTTTGAGCTATTTATGTTAAAACAGTGAATGGGGTTAACAGGATAATTTTAATTTGCAGCCAAATATCAATTAAAAATGATCATTTATTGCTATCTATTACGAAAATTGTTTTTAGATGTTAATCAAAATATATATTAATATAATTGATATGAATATCAATGTATTTATATAAAATATAAAATCTATAATAAATTTTCCTTATTTATAAGCTTAATTTGAATAGTTCCATTTTTCTAAACTTTATATGTACAAAGGCTTATCTTGTTTCTAATCTAGTAACATGCATCCTTTTACTTTTATTTTTATGTTCGTTTTCAATTCTTTTTTTTTCCTTGGCAAGGCTACATTGCATGATATCCTCCCAAGATTATCCTTAGTGTCTTCTTTCTTTTTCTAATCTTGAGACAACGTTTTTCTGGCGACATCGATCGTGTCTCCAAATGATGCCTCTTGAGAATTAATTACTTCTGTAGTGCTTAAGGATATAGGGTCCATCTAACCTAGGAAAAGGTGAATGCACCTTTCTTATGTTCAATATAATATAATGAACAAATGATTTCAGCGCCAATTCGTTGTACGTACAATGAACAGAGGATATAAGAAAACATGGACCCTTTGTACACCTCTAATCCTATTTATAAAATAAAAAATTAATTTTAACCATATTTATATGATACTTTAATATTTTTATATTTATTTTTATCTTTTTATTCTTATTAAATATTAAAAAAATTATTAAAAATAATTCTTTCTATTCTTATTAGATGGTAAAGATGAAAACTTATTAAATATTAAAAAATATATTAAAAGTAATTTATAAATAAACCTAAAAGAATATATATAAACTTTTATATATAACTTTGTGAAATTTCATTAAGAATATTCTTTCTGGTTCTATTTGCATGTAACTTATTAGAAAGAATTTATGGTGCTTTTCATAAGTCATTTATACAAAAAGGATCATTTATTGTTTTCTTCCAATTTGACCCCATCATAATTTTCAATAAATAGAGTCATGAAGAGTATTCTTTCTGGTCCAAAAAATAAGAATCCTTTAATAATAATATGAATAACAATAAATGTTGATTCTCATATATATATATATATATATGCACGTTTTTTTCTTTTTTACCCTTAATTTATAAATTTATAGACACAAAAATCCAAGTTAATACATACAAGGGGTAAAAGGGAGAAAATACTTATATATATATATATATATATATATATGTAGATTAGATCGAAGGGAGTAAGAAGTTACTATATGAAAAAGAAAATGTTTTTAAAGATAAGGATAAAATAGAAAATTTATTTCTTTTTTAGACATCATCAATAATTTAAGTAGATCTCATTATTAATTTTAATGAAATAGGAAAAATAATTTATAAATAAAATTAGAGGGAGTAATATCTTACATGCTTAAAAGTGTTTTAATTATAAGGGTGTTATCTTGTTTTTTCTTTTGAAAAAGAATTTAAAATATGTACTCCATGTGGACCATAATGTCAGATATTAATAACTAATTCATGATTCTGAAAAAATATTAATTAGTTGAAACTTTAAGTTGAAAAAATAGTTATAAAAATTACTCAATATCTTATAATATTTTGTATCAACTATCATACAAGACTTTTAGATGATGTAAAAAAGGAAAGTTTTTCAATAAATTATTATAGTGATGATTGATGATGACTCTTTGAAAATAAAATAACGTACGTGTCAGAAGAATACACAATCCAACCAAAAAAATACCTCAATTCTATACTCTTTTTATATTATTTATAAGCTATTTTCAATTTTTTTATTAAAATGAAGAAAAATTTTAAAATTCATTAACTTTATTTAAAATTTTGATAATAATTTTTTTAAATTTACTTTTATTAAATATATATTATCTTTTAATAATATACTCTTTCTCACTAACAATATTTAATTGAGAGTAAAAAGAAAAATTATGATAAAAAATTAATGATGTAACTAATTTAAAAAATTTAAAGTTCACTGAATCATTGCCTGAGGGTGATTAAATTATTATGATTTTAAGAAGCTTGGAAAACACTCATTGGAATGGTAAAGCAAATGAAGCTGGTTGTGTAAAGTTACACTACATATGTGGAATTCACGATTCTTTCATTTTGTTTCGAAATGAATAATCAATCAATATATATATATATATATATATATGTAAAATTTATACAAAAACCTATTATTCATAATTAAGTTGTAAATTGTATGGTTCAACTGAAACTCGATTCAAAGCATATATATGCCTCTTATTTTAGTTTTCAAAAACTCAAAATTTAGATTTCATGTAATAATATATATACCGAGAAACATGTCTCATTATATTGTTAGTTTGTTACAAATCGAGAAGACTCTATTTTCAAAATTATTTGACGTAGTTATATATATTTTTTTAATTTTATACATTCCTTTTATTTTAGAATATTTTTTAAATAACTGTTGAATAATTTAACTTTGATATGTAATAATCACGGTTTAATCATTTGGAAAATCAGCAATAGTTCAAATTAGAGTGCATAAAAGATTTTGAAGCATAAATAATTTTTTTTGTAATTAATTAATGCAGCTTACAATAAATTTACAAGTTAACATCCGTCTTATCAGTAGCTACACAACATAAAAGTATCTAGATTAAATGATAATTTGAACCATAAACTCTAAGCCCTATAATAATTTAATTTCTAAATTTGTTTTTATTTATAACAATGTGACTCTTATCGTCAATTTAAAATTAGCACCGTTATTTCAAGCGTGAGCCCGGCGTGGACTCTCTCTCTCTGTCTCTGCGGGTCTCACCCTCATCCTTTTCCTCCCTCCTCCCTCTCTCCCTCTCCAATAACCCGAACAAGGCAGCAACAGCGTGAAGCCACAATGGTTCGACGATGAGAAACAAAGCTTGATTTTTAGAATCTGCATGACGTTGAAAGCACCGGCACTGACGTGGCCGGAGGTGGGCTCATACAAAAGCAGCACGGTAGGGTCGTGGAAGAGGCTGAGGCCGAAGGAGACCCGTCTTCGCTCGCCACCAGAATACCTATCGGCGAGTCTGGTGTGAGCCAAGTGACTGAGGCCAAGCTCGGCGAGAAGAAAGGAGGTGTCAAAGGGCTTGGGCTGGAGGAGGCTGGGGTCGAAGGCGAAGGTCTTGGCGACGGTGAGGAGGGGAGGTAACCGTCGTGTTGTGGGATTTGTACGTATAAGAAGTTGGATTCTCCGGACCATTACTATGATTCCACTCGATCTTGCTGATCACCTGTCTTTCACCATTCCTGCTGCCTCACAAGAACCAGAAGTACCCACAAATTCAATCATAGGCATGATAGGTGGGTTTTTCTCAAAGAGAGTTAGAGAAGACTTTGGAGATTCGAGTTCATCACCACTGTTCGTGCTTTGATCAGTGGATTTTAACCACCCACCTTTGTTCCGAGGCTTGAGAACTGGATGAGCAGAAGTGGAAGCAGAGGATGAAGAGGTAAATGGTAGTGATGAACGTACTTGGATCCTTGGCCAACCTTGCTTCAGTTTGCGATGGCCGCGACATTATCGGTGCTTGTTCGGGTTATTGGGTAGAGACAGGGGAGGAGGGAGGGAGAGTCCAAGCTGACGCAACGAGAGAGAAAGTCCATGCGGGGCCCACACTTAAAGCAACAGCGTTGATTCCAAATTCACAGTAGATGGGATTGCCACAAGTGCAATTATTAAGTTAAAATGCATCATTTAGAATTTAATAGACTTATAATTTATTAATTTTTGATTCAAATTGTCATTAAACCCAAATATTTAAGAATACATGCACAAATTTTTGTGGGTACAGAATACATACACACATTTTGATAAATAATAAAATAGGTAGAGTTCTAATCATCATGTTAACGTTAACATGTTCATTATATTCTTAGGACAAGAGACATGATCAATCCAGGTACGACAAAAAGACAAATTGATGTGGATTCTTTTTGTAAGATATCAAACCGGTTCAGGTCTGCGAAGAGCACTCCGATGTGGTGTCCTGATCTTTTGGTGTTTGTGTGTTTTCATGGTTTTGGCCTTTTTCTGTTTCTCTTTTCTTTCCCCACAGCACGCCGTAAAGTCCAATCACCACCAAAATAGATCCACCCACACTGCCATCATACACTCGACAAATTAACCATCAACCTTGAAGCAACGGACTTGACATTGTTTTTCTTATCAAGTACTTGAAATTTCATCCAACTCAACATCGCATTCACATCAAAATTGAAGAGAACTTGCTTTATTTTTTTTTAAATCTTCATGTATCATAATTTTATTGAAGAGAACTTGGTAATAAACAAAAAAAAATGCTAAATAATGTTAAATTATCCAAGGTATAACTGGAATGAAGTCAATATGAGAAGATGTTATCAGCACAAGACTAAAGAGCCCATCCTAAAAAATTTTGCATCTTAGGTGGGAAAGTTTCTCATGCTTATAAACCACATTTCATTTTGTGAGATTTTTTGATATGGGATTCATGACAAAAGCTAACTCCCGAATAAATTATATTAGATTTAATAATGAATATATAATAAAATAAAATAAAATAATTATATAGAATATATATGGACCTTCCCCAGTGAAGTGCTTCTCTCCAGAAAAGTGCAGAGAAGATGGCAGTGACGATCAGAGAAAGAGGAGTGAACATTGCAGTGAACACTGCACCTTTCTCCTCTACAGTGCACACTTGGAGCCAATACGTAATTCCCGTCACAATCACACCCTGCAATAATGACAGTGGATTAATTTTTAAATATGTGATAATTAATAATTGAAATGTTGATGTTCTACATTCATCAATAATCTTGGCATTAGAGGAGTGTTGGAGAAGCCTGTGGATTTTAATTTGTTACATCTTACTCCACTGTACATACTCAGCAAATCATAAAAAACTCAGTTCGGATTAACGCTAATCCTAAACAGAGCAAATCCAGTTTCTAATAATGAGTTGATATATCTCAAGTTGATATCAATTTATTACTAGGTCCCTCATAATAAGAATGCTATTAAATAGCATAAATTGAAGCAAAATCTATTAATTATTTGTACAGAAATTAAACGCATGCATGCATTTAACGTTTTTCACGTTTTGCAGTACACAGCTGATCAGACAGCACAAAAGTAACTAGTGTGAACAGCTATTTCCTTCAATACTATTTATAAATTAATTCTATTAATCTCATAATATTAATACAATAAAAGTACATGAAATAAAAATAAGTGAAATTTTAAATATAGCTCTCAAGTAAAAAATAAAAATTAAACAAATAATATGATATTATTTTTCTATCTTTCTCTCACTTTTCTGGGGTAATTTAGAGATTTTAATTTGAAACAAAATTATCCTACTAACCAGTGACTTATAAAAGGGATTAGATTATGCTTTTAGAAGGTAATTAATATACAGAACTAGAGGAATATGCTATAAATGACCAAGTAGGTCCACAATGATCTAGGCAACTGTACATTAGCCGAGAAACACATTTCTGTAGATAGAAGAGAAAATGTTATATATAAAATCTTATAGATGGAGTAGTCTAAATAAATTCCAATATACTCCAATCCTCAAGAATTATTGAGTTATTATTATTTTTTTATCAATCTTACTCGCTATGTTAGCTAAAGATATGAAATGAAATATTAAAACTGTTCATGCTGAGCTATTCTTGGACCTCTGGTTAACATTCATATGCATCACCCTCAACATATAGAAAGTCTTAGCAGGGTCATGGCATAAAAACATACACAATAAGCCACAGAAAGAAGATGAATGTCCCATCCAAGCTTCCACGCTGAAGGATTCCTTTCCACTGCGACAGCCAAAACAACTGTCTGTATGCAGCTAAAGAAGCATTGTAGTGTAGTGAGGCGAAATTTTGCAGGGTATTCCTTTACAATAAATCCCTGAAACAAGTTTGTGCACAAGTTCACTTGGAAGGATTATATTATCCATCATATGTTCTTAAGATATTGAGAATAGACTGTAAAGGAACACTATTTTTATGTAATACATATGCATGTAACTTTAATATGAGACAAAATGTCAAATTAAATTTTACTTGAGCACTTTATATATGGATTTAACGAGACTAACATACCTGCAAAATAAGCCATAGAGACCAAGCACTGTTTGCTGAGAGCATCATGATAACTCCTTTAATTTGATCTCCTTTAGAGTGAACTGCTGTTATTATTGAATTCGAATTATTCTGCTGATTTGATGGATGCCACTTCATGAAACCTATTGAAGGTCCTTTGACCAAAGCAAATGTTATTGCCCCTGAAAGGCTCAAAATAGAGCCCAAAATCTTGGCTATCCCATGCATATTCTTCACGGAAATGCTTTCCACCCTAACATTTTAAACCATAAAACACTTCTATACTTAAGGAAAAAAGTAGAAATACACACACTCCGCACATATTACTGAATAAATCTCCGGTCATTTACCCGATTGTAACAGCCATGATGAAAGTAATGGCAGGGATGGTGTTTGTGGTTGCTGCAGCAAATGTTGCAGACGTATAGTTGATTGCAACACAGTAAAGATTTGAACTTAATGTTAACCTGATTATTTAAGCAAGCACAGACATAGGACAATTAGAGTATATATTCATGTCATTATTTTAGGGTGCAAGAAAAAAATTTTAATCTGCATATTTCTCTATTTTCACTTGCAGTGAGAAAAGAGACTCCTCTACTCATTAGATCTTTCAACAAGCGATATATTGTTTTCATATCATTTGCCTTTAATTAACAAAGGGAAAAAATAATTTTCAAGGATTAAGACTTTTTTGATTAATTTTCAATGATTAAGACCAAACAGAATTGATAATTCAGAAAAAAGTATTTTCATACCCAACTAGGGAAACAAGAAAGATTTTGCTTAGCAAGTTGTAAGACAACAGAGCACCTTGTTTACTGCAGGCAGATATAAGAGATAAACAAGCTTGTTAGTTCAGGATAGGTAAGATGCATGATTTGTCAATGGAGATACCAAAAATACAAAAAGCTACAGTGAAGAACCGGTCGAAGAATGCGAATGGAGACAGCGCAAACGAGGCGAAAGCTTGCCGGTAAACAACAAACACGTAAGGGTTCATTCCCTTGGCAATTGCAGCTTTGGACAACACAGCCATGCCTGCATACACGAATTGAGTGAAGATCATTGCAGCATAAGCCCTATTCTTGGCCACACAGTTGACTGAACTCTTCATTTCTTTTTGTTTTTGCCTTGCTGCCTTAGGTAACTCTCTATGAGCTCTACACAAGAAAAACGTGGTTTTATATAGATATTTTAATATTGAGACTTATCATCTTATTATTGGCTCTAACTCTTTGCCCTTTTCCTAGCCTAATTTTGTGTGATAATTCTTTTTATGCCTCGAGCATCAAAAGTGGCAGAAAATGTATAGGCCCGCACGATACAAAAAGATATATCATGAGGCATTAGTGTCATTTCAATAGAAGGACATAGCAGGATCAATTGGTGCAAGCTTATATTTGTACCTTTGTATGGAACAGATGCAGCAAATTAGGAAAAGTAGAAGAGGACAAAATTTGATGTTGATTTATTTGTTCCCACAACTAGAGGAATCGATAGGCAACTTTTGTATGTAGGCCCCGAAAATTAATTAGGAAAGATCACTGATTAGCTATTGATCGGACCAGCAGAGAAAACTGTTATGAAGTATCTATCTTTAATCTAGCATTCAATATTCACTACTATAAAATATACATTTTATATCTCCAATTTATATTACTTTTAATAAAAATAATATAAAAAATAAAGACGGTAATAATTTTATAAATAAGTATTGAATATATAAAACTATCAATATCGTTTTTTTAAAAAGGTGACGTGGATAAGTTATCCACATCACTTTTTTTAAAAAAAGGACCATGGACTATAAAAAATAAATTATTTTAAATTATTAATTTTTGACTATTTTTCATGTCATATTTTTTTAAAAAGTGACATGGTGAGTTATCCACGTCGCTTTTAAAAGAAAAGGAACGTAGATTGTAAAAAATAAATTATTTTAATTATTAATTTTTGAACATTTTTAATGTCACTTTTTTTAAAAAGTAAAGTGGATTTTAGTTAGCTTTTTAAAATTAGATAGAGCTCCTCCCTCACTCCATCATTTTGTATTATGAAACCTAACTTCTCTCCTTTTTTCCCTTCAAAGGCAGCACGTCTCTCTTCTTTCTCTATTGCAGATCTCTCTCTTGGCCACACAACAACTCTCTCCTCTCCTTCCCATTACATCGAGACCCACAGCATCAAGATCTATGACCAACATATTGAATAGAGATTAAGACTAGCATTCAACAGTACACATTTGACAAACAACTCTTTCTTGTCCTGGTCTCCTCTTTCTCCTATTCAATGGATAGCTTCGAGACTCACGGTCGAGATCCACGGCTTCTCCTCCTCTCTCCCTTGAGCAAGCAATATTTGGTTAGTGCCACTTTCACCCACAAACTCTTTTTCTTTATAGATATTTCTAACTCTTACTTGAACCTTCTCTATTATCTTTGGTTGTTTCATCAACTTTGGTATGGTTTTATTTTTTTTTATTTTGATTTTAGATTTGTGAAATTTATAGCTAGCTGGAATAATGAAATAAAAATAAAAAAAATATTTTAATATTTGTTTTAGGAGAAACCACGTCCCTCATAAAAATGACATGGATAAGTCAACTTTTTTTGTTGCTCGAATCTATGTCTCTCGCAATAGAGACGTAAAATGTCCAAAAAAAGTAACGTGAAAAGCTTTTTTTATAGTAGTAATTTTTGGGTTTTTGCCAAGTTCCACAAAACACAACATCTTCTAATAGTATTACTTCCTCCATAAAAAAAAAAGTACTTTTAAGGGGTTGGATATTTAAAAATATAAGATATTTTTGATATTTTAAGATATAACTAATGTATTTTTTTTTCAAAGGTGACCTATAATAAATAAATTACTTTATATTTATTTTAAAGTGAAACACTCTAATAAATAAAAGTAAATATAGAAATATGATGTTAATTAAAAATAATTAATTATTTTATTGAGAGATAAAATTTAGTTAAAAATATCTTATATTATTTAATAAAAATATTTTATATTTTGTACTGTATTATATATTATCTTGAATCTTGAATATATATACAAATACATACATATATATACGTATATATAAGACAGTACAAAAGTGATGAATTATTCCAATCAGGTGTCTCTAGGGGTATTGAATTGTAGAATGATGCCTCTCGAGATAATTCGTAGGTGCCTCTGAAAACATTATTGTGTTCCACTGTTCCTAGAGCGGTATGAAGCCTTTTTATTTTTAGTTTTTAACTTTTTGTGGGGCCAAAAGGGCAGTCTAGAAAATGAAGTCTGAATCATCTTCGTATCTATAAATAAATAATTCATTCTAGAGGCCACGATAGTTTGATGAGAAAATCACATTTAATAACTTTTATTGCTCTGCAAAATTAAATAATTTTGATCTTGTTTTGAATGATCAAAAAATATAAATGTAAATAAATTTTATTATGAAAAGATAAAACTATCTCTCATATACATATGTATTTGCTATGATGCATTATTGTTAATATAAAAATGAGATTATTATTTTTTAAATATGAACTTATTTACTAGATCACAATACTTTTTCTATATCATTAAGATAATATTTTGGAGTTGTTAATGAATAAATTTGTTGTTATTAATATAAAAATAAATTTATTCACCAAATCATAATATTTATTTTTCTTCACTTTAAGTTAATTTTATGAAGTTGTTAATGGAAAAATTAATTGTCATTAAAATGAAAATGTTAAAATATACATTTAATCCTTCAACTTTACATAACATTTCATTTTAGTTTCTTAACTTATTTATAAAGTGTCTTTTTTTTATTTAATCCTAATATTATTAATTTTATTCTAACAAATTTTTACATTGAACTTATAAATATTAACAAAACATTCTTAAATATTGATATATTAAATTTAATTTTTTTAGATAACAATGATTGACACAAAAAATGATCATTTGAAGCTAATGATATGAGAGTTAAAGAATTAAAAAGATACTTTACAAAATTAAAGGATCAAATTAAAACTTTATATAAAGTTAGAGAGTTAAAAGTATATTTTAGCCAAATAAAAATGAGATTTTTTTTTCTCAGAGATTTGTTAAAAGAGAGATAGAGAGAGTGTGTGTGAGGGGTGGTTTGATTTAATTTTTACAATAAATTTTAATTACATTTAAATTAAAAATATTTGATCCTGCGTAGCCATAAATATTATTTAGTAGTCCTTGATTGCCACTTTACCTAGTTTCATTCCGATTTGCTTTAAATCTCTTGCCACAATTTACTATGCATGTCTCATGTGAACCATACAGATGAGTATTGCTTAATTATAACATTTTATTTTTTATCTTAAATGAATTATAATATAAAATACTATTTTCATGTCAAATTTTAAGATATTTTTAAATAAAATTTTACATATCAATAAATCTCATTAAATACACTTTACAATCTTATATTTCTAAAATAAATATGTAAACTTTTAAAAGTACCTATAATTTTAATGTATTGAAAAGATAAGAAATGAAAATTAATTATAAAGAAATAAATAATAATATTAAAATTGATGTATTTAATAAAATATTAATTTATTTAAAATATTTTATATTTTGAGATGAAATTTTTTTTAAAAGTGTCATATCACCGACAAACTCTCCCTCCCCTTCCAGAATTTTCTCCACTAACCTGGACAATGAAGAAGGAAGCGGAGGAGGTGAAGAGAAATAAGATAAATCCAGAAAATTATAGATTTAATATTTAATTACCTTTGGCGGTGAAAGAAGAATCAAGAAGCATGAAGAATGGATGGCATGAACGACTTAGCACACATAAAAATGGGCGGATTGGGATGATCGGTGTTCGCGGAAGAGAGCAAGTGTGATGAGAGAAAGAGTGAGTGTGTAACGTGAGAGAGGTATGTGTGCGTGTAGAATCCAGCTCTGTCCGAATAGAGAGGGTGACGTAGGGAAAGAGAGTGAGAGTAAGGAGAAAAGAGGAGTTTGGTGCCAATTCTAGTGTGTATTTGAAATAAAAATCATTTTCAGTTGAGTCCCTCTCTTCTTCCATCACCAAATCCCAACAGGTAGGAGTATAAAAATAAAATAATGCAATATAAACTTTTGAAATTTTAATCTTGTCCAGATGAAAGATACACAAGAGACAAGACATTTTACACTACATCTAAAACTTACGTGGTTTATACAATAAACTTTTTTTCTATATCGCTGTATTAATAGTGAGATCGAAGGATATTCATGTAAGAAAACTTGGTATATGGGTGGGTTGATGTATTTATGTATGGTTTCTTGCTTCATCTAATAAAACTCATCAACATATAAGATATATATATTCAAGTGGTTGGTTCAATAAGGTATAAATGCACTTCTTATTACCGAAAGCATCTCTCATGTCGTACAATGAATAAAATGACATCTCGAAAGGTCGATTCAGGTGATATGACCCATGTCTCATTAGAATGTGAATTCAAATTCTACTATTAACATAAAAAATAACTTCATATTGATGATCGGTGTAAGGATTTTATAAAAACAAGCAGCCTTTGCCATAGTAAATCTTTAAACCTCACTCATCTAGACCTTCACCCTTTTGCGACTATGATCAAGGGTGAAAATATCTCTTAAAACAAAGCCCACACAATCATTGCATATGAAGCAACATGCTACATGTATAATCATCCTCACCGCACTAGAGCCAATAAATGGACAGGCTTGACTCATGGACTTGACCCTTTCAGACTCAAGTCTAAAAGCTAATTACTTTAAAATTCATCAATTTTTTAAGCCAGTTTAAGTTAGCCTAAAAACCTTTTTTTATTTGTTTTTATTTTTTTTAATTTTTTAAAATTTTCAAAATTTAATTTTTACATTATAATATTATTACATATTTGTTCTTTAAAATACGAATTATAATATTTTAAAAAATAAAAATAAATAATGTAAATCTTAATTTTAAAATACTAACACATATTCTAAAGTCTAAATTTAATCTATAAATTTAAAATATTTCATTGCCTAGGGTCATAAACAAAGCGGACTCAAACGGCAAGCCTAAGCTCCTTTTTTTCAAGGCTTAAATAAGTTGGGTTTAAAAATCTTTTTATATAAAAA